AGTAGATTGTTTGTGTTCAGTTTCATCTTACTTTTAGAATATAAGGAGTTTGGGTTTACAAGTGTTATTGTTTTTTTTATATTTATTTTTGTCCCTCATTGTTTTTTATTTATATTTGATCCTTTTTTTTCTTGTTGAATATTAGTGGTTATTAGAGTGACACATGACAATCCTCACTACAGAACCTACGAGGTGGGCGGAGGCTATAGAATCATCCGTGGATTGTTTGTTTTCTCCGCAGTCGGCAAAGAATGTTGAAGATGTCTTATCCAAGGCGTCCACGGTAAAGCACCAGCAAAACCTCTTGAAGGCAGTAGAGCCGTTTATACTAAAAATGCTAGAGGATCCCGTTGCTATTTCAATTTTGACGTCGCTCGTAAAGTACGGTACGGTTGCGACTGTTGCCAGTATTACAGGCATAGTCGGGCAAGAGTGTGACAAGATCCTTAGCGGCGCCAGTACCCCGGTGGAGGTGTGTGAAGCCCCGTTTGGTATTCTCCTGGAGCGTATCATTTACCGCGAGGATTGCACTGCGAAGTGCCGAATGAATTTAATTAAAGATTTAAAATCTCTTGACCAGCGCTCACTTATGGGTTCTGCAATTTTTTATTGGCCGCGGCTCGTTTGATAATCCTTGACAGAGAATTTGCTGTATCTGTATGCTCCAGCACCAAGGCACAAGAGGCATTTCTGCAATTTTCTTTGTCCCCTTCAAGGAAAAATATGGTGATACGTTTCTGTGAATTTGTGCTTTCCACGGCCGATACAAAAAATGAAAAGCTGACGGATGCATGTTCTGTTTTTATATTTACTGCCCTTTCTACCTTATACGCTGCGAATTCTTCCGTGCGTCCATGGAAAGAGGTGACGTTGCTCTTGGCATCGTGCGGGAGCATCTCTGTTGTTCGGGACATGGTAAAGCTCTTCTCAGAGTGGCCTGATATTTCTCTTCGAGCAAAGACTGAAGCTTATGGGAAAGTGATGGCGCATCTCTTGAAGCGGTCCCCAGAAGTAAACGATGGAGTTGTGTTGGTAAAAGTGCTGTTCCAAACAAGGCAGGATTTTGATGAAAGGTTAGCCTCCCGGAAATCCTCACAATTGCAGCTACTCGCAGCCATTGCCGAGAAACCGGCGTACGTGGAGGCTTTGTCAGAAAAGCTGGGTGAATCCCTCGAAAAGAGGCTTCTTGCCGCAGCTGTTCGGTACCGAAATGCCACCAAACCAAGGGCTCTTGCAACTAAAGAGGTGATTCTTCAAAGGCTTGATAAGATCCGCTCTGTTTCCAGCGCAGATTATAGTCCGGGTAAGGCGCTGAAAAGGAAACGTGAATAGCCGACATTAAAGTTATATATAAAAGAAAAACAAATATGGGTTTTTTTTCTGTGTAATGTGTGAAATTTTGGGTAGCTGACAAACGTAGGAGCGTGTCTCCCCTCATATATGTATATATATATATATATATATGTATGTGAGGGACCACTTCTTCCTTGACTTTTTTCTCCTATTTATGTGTGCATCAAGTTATAGCTATTCTAGGACAGGATGAAGCGATTGTCGCATTTATCTATTCTTTCGGTGAGGGGTAGCTTGCAATGCTCAAGGCGTTACAATCTTTTGGAGCATAAAACAAAGGGCTCGATGTTTATGAAGCATTTGGATCTGTACGCCCGGCGTGATCCGCAGTTGGCACCGTACTTACTTAGGGAAGTAGATATTGAGTATAAAAGAAAATGCCGCAAGGTTTCTTTTTGCATTTGGATGTGCATATTTACTGTAGTTACGGCTTTTCAAATACGTATGCAGGGTGATCAGTTGCACTACTTGCGTCTGTATGCAGATTGTGTTCGGGCTGAACAGGATGCAAAGGACGAGGATGAAATTCGACGAAGGAAGACGTTCGTAGCTGTCGCGAACCTTGTCCGAGACGCGTTTGATCGGGATCAGAAGTGGCATAAGAGTGATCAAGAAAAGGCTCTGAAGGTGCTATAATGCAAGTGCCTCTGACGAAACTGAAAGAGGATTAATGGGAGTGATGTCATTTGGCGCCATTTTTCCTTTTTTTCTTCTTCTTTTTTAGAGGATTCGACTGTCAAAGAATTTTCCCCGTTTTTTTTTGCCTTCGCTTTATACAGCCTTGATAAAATAACGCAGACGATACCAAGTTCTTTTTTTTTCGCCGTGTTGTTTTGTCTGCTTGTCACATAACCGTTTTAATACAGTTTTTACAATCGGAGCTTCCATACGCGAAAGTGCTGAGTAATATGGCCTAGACGAGGTCTGATTTTCTTTTTCTTTTTTTCATTTTTGATCTTACTATTTTATTTTTCCACATTATGCTGTTTTTTTCCTTATGTTACTATAGGCAAAGTGCGCTCAGAAGGATGTTCTCGCTCATTGGTGCCATGGGCACACTTGTGTCAACGTTCATGGCGGCGGATACTTTGTCGCGGGCGTTTGGAGTGCATAAAGTAAAGGCAGGAAGATGTATGCTATACCTGTGGATTTTGGCGATTGTTTTGGCTTTTTGGATGAATAGCATAGAAATGCTGGGGTGCCTCCACTGTGTGGTTTTCGTCGGCGTCGCTGCAAGGTTTGGCGAGGGGGGTCTTTCATACGACTTTGTAAGAGTCCCGATACTGACTTTTGTTCCGGCTTTTGGAATAGTAAATATTTTATTAAACTACGCTTGGTCCACCGTCTAAGATGGGGATTACAGAATGCCCACGATGCCGGGTCTCCTTTTTGCGGATATGCACTTTTGCATTGAGGTGTGGCTCACGCAGCGTGAAGGGTGCGCAGACAAAGTATGGGAGTATAAACTATTTTTTGCTTTATTATTACTATTAGTATTATTGCTTCCACTATTTTTATTGCCTTACTACCACTTCTCTTTCCTTCTGGTTATTTTCAACTCTGAGGAAGGTGTGCGATAAACGGAGCAACACGAGGACTATTACGATGGATTACGCCAGCGCCATTAGACAACAATCAGAAGATCTACAGGATGAATTGAGGGAATTAAACCGCTGGGAGGAAGAGGTGCGGCGACGAGAGGAGGCAAACAAAAAGAGAGGGGTGCATTCGGCAAACAGCGATGCAGTGCCACCTATCAGGGGGACCGTGCCCTCACTAAAAGAGGCTGTGTTAAGGTCCGGTGGGAAGGTCTCGGGAGAGGATCCGGTGAAAAATGCGAAGGAGACAGGCAATACCTTTTTTCAGTCCGGAAAATTTAAGGAAGCCATTGAGGCATACACCACAGGAATTGACCTCGATCCTGAGGGGACTGTGGCGCATGTACTGTATGGAAATCGGTCACTTTGCTATTTAAAGCTGGAGCGATGGGAGGAAGCCGAACGTGACGCCTCCGCTTGTCTTCGACTGAATCATAGTAACCCAAAAGGGTACTTTCGTCGGGCCATGGCGCGAAAGCGGCTTGGGAACTTGAAGGGGGCACGCACCGATCTTGAGGCTGTTCTTGCGCTTAGTCCAAATGACGCCAGCGCCACTAGTGAAATTAAGACAATAACGCATATGCTACAACTTGAGCGAGAGAAAGCTGGTCCTGTCGTGAAGAAGAAGGTCCTTATTATGGAAGTCGATGATGATGATGATGAAGAGGAAGAAGGGAAGAACACGGAAGAAAAAAGTAAGGAAGAGGCTGACTCTACACATAAAGGGGGCAGCAATGGGAATGACACCTCTGAAACGCAACGAAAAGAAAACATGCAAAAAGAGATGCAAGCACTTGAAATTGCCCGGGAGAAGCAACGCAAACTCAAAGAAGCCAAAGCAAAGGAGGAGGAAGCAAAGTTGAGCCAGAAGCGACGGACATGTGCACGGGTGGAAGTTATTGAAGAGGAGCCTGTTGAGGTAAAGGCTGAGGGTTCAGTCTCAGTAGCAAAGATGGTGGAGGAAAGGGCGACAGCGAAAGACGTTGACCGAGCTGAGTCAAGGGTACCCGCGTCAAAGTCAACTGGGGAGGGACGTGAACCGCGGAACCTCGCCCCACGCACCGTGAGGACGTCGTCCAGGCTCTCGAAGGAGACGCTAAAGGCACCAAAGTCCTTTACAGAGTTTGAACGGGTCTTTACGGATATCAGAGGTAATGAGGAACTCTGCTGCTATTACCTTTCTTTGATTCCTCCGGCAAATCTTCGCACCTTATTTGGAAACAATATGACACCAGATATTCTTCTTGGGCTATTGTCTACTGTGAAACAGCTCCCAGGCAATGTTGCACTTGCCTTTCTTCAAGGATTATGCACGGTTAAACGGGTCGAGGATATCGCGCTTTTCTTTGACAGTTCGGAAAAGAGAGTGGTTGAGGAGGTCCTCGACGTGGTTCGCTCTTGTGGCGCCTCTGAAAAGGACATGAGTCTATTTCGGGAACGCCTACGGGTGATGTAAGATGGAGAAATGATGGATCCAGATATAGATGCGCGTGTCTATGTGTCTACTATGAGTTTGTGAGGGTGAGAATTGGGCCTGCTCGAGACATACACACCTTGCTTAGTGCGGTTATTGAGGTGGGCTTTCCTTACACACTTCTTTTGACGCAGTCGTCGTGAAAGTTTCACCTATATACTCATATGCACGCAATACACACGCACACACACACACTCACTCTCGCTGCTTTTTTATTAACAACTCTTCCGCTTACAGCTTTTGTTTGCTTTTTTTTTGGTTGTTGTTGCTTTTTGTGTGGCGAGAGTAGCTATGGTTAAGGAGACTAAGTTTTACGACGCTCTGGGTGTCTCCCCAGATGCTTCCATCGAGGACATTAAGAGGGCCTACAGGAAGCTCGCTTTGAAGTACCATCCCGACAAGAACAAGGAACCCGGTTCACAGGAAAAGTTCAAGGAAGTCTCTGTGGCCTACGAATGCCTTTCAGACCCTGACAAGCGCAGTCGGTATGACAAATTTGGAGAGAAGGGAGTTGACATGGAAAGTGGAGGAATTGACCCCACAGACATCTTTGCAAGTTTCTTTGGTGGCAGTCGGGCCCGCGGAGAGCCAAAGCCGAAAGACATTGTTCATGAGCTGCCTGTCCCGCTTGAGGCGTTCTACACAGGGAAGACGGTCAAGTTGGCAATCACCCGTGATCGCTTGTGCTCGGCTTGCAACGGTTCTGGGTCTAAGGTGCCGAACGCCAGCGTCACGTGCAAGGAGTGTGAAGGTCGGGGTGTCAAGGTTGTCACGCGTTCCATTGGGCCCGGTTTCATTCAACAAATGCAGGTGGCATGTCCTAGGTGCCGTGGAAAGGGCACCGATATGAAGGAGGAGGACAAGTGTGACACCTGCAAGGGCCAGCAGATTAAGAAGGAGAAAAAAATCTTTGAAATCGTCGTTGAGAAGGGCATGCATCGCGGCGACAACGTGACGTTTCGAGGCGAAGGCGACCAGATACCAGGGGTCCGGCTCTCAGGGGACATAATTATCATCTTGGACCAAAAACCACATCCCGTCTTCACGCGCAAAGGCGACCATCTCGTCATGGAGCGCACCATCTCCTTGGCAGAGGCGCTGACTGGGTTCACGATGAACATAAGACACCTCGACGACCGTGAGGTTTCCATCACCTCCACTGGCGTCGTTGACCCCTCCAAGCTCTGGTGTGTGAGCAGGGAGGGCATGCCGCTCCCCAACACAGGTGGCGTGGAGCGCGGGGATCTTGTGGTGCAGTTTCACGTCGTTTACCCAACGACGCAGAGTCTGCGGCCTGACGCAGTCGCCAAGCTGCGCGAGGTTCTTCACTACCCCCCACAACAGTCTCCCTCACCTAATGCCATGATATGCCACCTGTCGCAAACCAACATTGACCTCGAAAAGGAAGCCAAGCGCCGCCGACAGAGAAGTGGTGAAGACGACGACGACGACGCCCCACAAGGGCATGCGGGAACGACGTGCACACCGCAGTAATCTTTGTAAGCAAGAAAAAAAGAAAGAAAGGTAAGAAGAAAAAAAAAAAAGAAGAATAAATAAAATGAAAGTAAGAATCTGGAGAGGAGGAGGAAGGAAGAAATAGGAACCGCAGTTCCCCAGAAGAGGGCAGAGAAGGATCTTTGCGTGCTTTTTCCCTCCCCCCTTCTTTGCTCTCCTCCTCCCCCTCTTGGCTGAGGTGGTAGTAGCTAAGCCATTGTTGGAGCATTTGTCATTTTCCACCCAACCTGCTTCCATGGCATAGATAAACGCCCAATTTATTATTATTATTATTATTATTATTACTATTACTATTACTATTACTATTATTATTATTATTATTTTGACCCACCCTATTGATGAACTTGAGGTGTGCCGGGGGCAGGTGAGATTGCCGACGTCGCAGGAATTGTGGGTACGTCACATTGAAGGTACGTAGACACACCTCCGCTTGAAGTTTCCTGTCACCCCGGATTTTTTTGTTTTGCTTTTTCTCTTCTCGGTTTGTGTGCTTAGAGATACATATATCTATCTGTATTTGCTAGTTGGGCGTTTCAGGGAGGCGAGTGTGTGTGTGGTGGCGGGGTTAGAGCGCTACGGGCAGCAGTCGTGGGTAACAGTGGGGGCTCACAATGCCCGGGGCGAATGTCATGAGTTTTAGGCCGCTCGGGGGGCCTGTGCTGGGCGTCGCGCACAGGCTGCCGCTGAGGAACGGGCAGAGCATCCCCCAGTGCGGCTTCGGAACGTACCGGATGACCCCCGCGGAGGCGGGGCCGTCCGTTGAGTACGCCGTGGCTTGTGGGTTTCGGCACGTGGACTGTGCGAAGGCGTACTGCAACCAGGCCGCAGTTGGGGAGGCCCTGCAGCGTCTGACATCGACCGGCAAGGTGAGGCGCGAGGACTTGTTTTTGACCTCCAAGCTGTGGCCCACCGATCAGCACCCAAGCCACGTGGAGGGGGCGTGCCGAGAGACGCTGGCGGAGCTCCGCGTGGACTACCTTGACTTGTATCTCATTCACTGGCCGGTGGCGTGGCGCCACTCCCCGCAGTTCGCGACCGACGACGATAAGTACCCCAAAGACGCCAGCGGAGCTGCCGCGGTGGACGACAGCGTCAAACTTATTGATACGTGGAGGGCCATGTGTGAACTTGTCGATAAAAAGTTGGTGCGTTCGATTGGCCTTTCAAACTGTAACGAGACACACATTAACGAAGTCATGAGTGACGAGCGTCTTTATGCACCGGTGGTAAACCAAATTGAACTTCACCCGGCGTTGGTGCAGCGTGATCTGCTTAGCCTGCACGGTGCGTACCATATCGTGACCGCCGCCTACAGTCCGCTGGGGATGCCCTCGCGATTTACGCCCCCGGGCTACAAAGGCCTGCTGACGGATGCGGCACTGCAGCCGCTTTCTGAGTATTCCGGGTTTAGCGTGGCCCGTGTGCTGCTAAACTGGAGCCTTGACATGCACAACGTCGTGATTGTGCGCTCCACCAACAAGGAACACATCCACTCGAACGCGAAGGCCGCGCTTTTTGCCCTCTCGGACCCCGTGCGGATGATCCTCGACAGATTCCAGGAGCGTGTGGGGACAGTGCGAACCATCAACCCGACAGACTTCACTCGCAGCGGAAGGAGCTTCTTTGCGTGAGGCGTGGGTGTACGGCCCACTTCACTTCTCCTCGTGTCGTCGACATATATATATATATATATATCGTGTTGTTGCTCGCCGTCTCGCGTTTGCTGGCGCCCGTTTTTTTTTTCCTATCTCTTCCTTCCCCATCATCGCTGCTGCTCTTCGTTTTCTGCTTCACTTTCCTTGCAGGCGGCGGAGGCGCAAATGGCTCCCAAGAAGGCAGCGAGAAACTCTGGCGGGAGCGACGCGGAGGCGGCCATCCTGCAGTGGTTCGAGTGCGAGGGGGAGCCGGCGACGGCGCAGTCCTTGACAGACGCACTGGGTAGCAAGTTTGGGAAGGCGCTGGTTCAGAGTGTCCTGGAGCAGTGCGTGGGCGAGCAGAGACTGCAGGCCAAGGACGTTAAGAAGGCTAGGTTCTACTTCCCCCCCGCGCCCGCGGCGGCGGAGAGCCACGGGGGCGACTGCCCCGTGGACCCCGCAAGGCTAGAGCTCATGCAGCAGCTTCAGCGGCACACAAGGAGTCTGTCGGAGCTCTCCGCAGAGTTAAATACACTTCTTCAGAGGCCTTCTGCCTCGGAACGTGCCTCGAACATTGCCCGTCTCTCCGCCGAGCGCGCCACGCTCACGCAGAGTTTGGAGGCAGTTAAACTGGAAAGGAACAAAAGGCGTGACGCGGCGCATGACGAAGACATTTATCTCCTAATTCGGCGGTACAACAGAGCCAGAGAACTTTGGAGGGAGCGCAAGCGCATGACAGAGCGTGTTATTGATGCGATCTTGGGAGACAGCTGTGACCCCAAGGACCTCGCGGATCACTTTGGCCTCGTTAGCGACAAGGAGGCAAACGTCTCCCTCACGGAGACGGCGATTGCATTGCCGCGGGTTGAGGGTCCCGCGGGTGTGTGACCAATAACCATATTACAGAGCATTGGGGGAGTCTGGGTGGGGAAGGGGAGAGAGGGGGAATGGCGGGAAAGCACATGCTTACATATAAATGCGTTGTTTCTTCTTGGGCAATAGCAAAGGCTGGCATTGCCTCATACTTGCTTGCGTGTTCCATTGACACTTGTGGCAGCTGCCAGAGGTGGGGTGGCGCTAAGCTCGAATGCGCCGGTGACTCATATATATGTATATAGGTGCCGTGGAAATGTGTGTGTGCTAACTTCGCATATTTCCTACTGTGGTTTTTTATTTTTAAATGCTTGTGTTTTTTTTTCCCGCTTGGGTTTTCTTCTGCCGCATCCCTGGCTGAAGTGTTTGCATGAGCGTCCCGGCATGGATGGGGAAAGCAGCGAGGGCCCCGAGTTGGGCGACATCTTCGCGGCTCTGAAGGAGTCGGCGCAGGGGCAGTGGGACGCGGATGCCGACGAGCTGCTGCTGAAGGGACTCGTGGCCCTGCAGGCAAAGTTCTTCGCCCGTTTCAGCTCCGTCCGCGGGGAGGTGGAGAGCCTTGTGACGGACGTCTGCACCGCCTCTGTCCAGGCGCAGAACGCCATGAACTCCTTCGTCCTCCTCGCGCAAAAGCAGTTCGTGCAGAACCGCGTCTCCCTCGACGCCGAGGACGACGACGACGACGGCGAGGACGACGGCGAGGGTGCCCGCTCGCTGCCCGACGACGCGGCTGCGGGGGGAGACGCGGAGGCAACGGCGGCGCGCGCCTGCCAGGACGCCGTCGAGCTTGGCGTCCGCGTGCTGGAGACGCGGACGATGCCGCTGTTTGCCCACGGCGCCGTCGTGGACGCGCAGGACGGGGACGACGGCGACAGCCGCTCCCAGTCCGCCGCGGACCCCTACCGCCACCGCCACTTCATGGCGCTCATTGGCTCGGAGCGCTTCCTTAACGACCCGTACGGCGGCTACTTCGATGAGCCGAGCCCGCGGTCGTGGGGCTCCTCCGCCTCGGACCGTCCCTCAGACGCCACACCGGCGGCGGTGGAGCCGCGGCGGGGGCCGGCACTCAACACCGCCGCCGTTGCGCAATCGACCACCGTACCGCCGCCGCCACCGCCACCGCCGCCACCGCCGCCACCGCCGCCACCGCCGCCGCCGCCGCCGACAATGTCATCGGCTCCACCTCCTCCACCTCCACCTCAAGCCGCGGTTGCGGCAAAAGCCGCGAAGGCGGAGCCGGCGGCACCTCAGCGCAAGATAATTTCTATGACGAACCTTTTTTCTTCGTCTGAGAGTTCCGCGGAGCCGAGCGCCCGCCCGGGCCCAACGCCGCAGCCCAAGCCTGGTGGAAAGAGGGCAAGCGCGTTTTTCACGGGAGGGGGCTCAACAGACTCGCCCTCCGAGGATTCGTCCACGGTGCCCACCCCAAAGTTCCTGGCCAAAGCTGCAGCAGGGCGAAGGGCTGTCATGTTTGCAAATGACTCATCGGCTGACAGCAGCGGCAGACCTCCGCCGCCCCCGGCGATGCAGGCCAGAAAGGCGCCGGCAAGAAAGCTCCCGAATCGTACTCCATCCACATCTTCGTCCTTCTCTTCAGAAGAGGACCCCACAGAGGCCGCGCTGCCTCCTCGCGCCGTGCTTGACAAGGTCAGCGTTGGCACTTCTTCGACGAAGGCATTGCCTAAGGCCGCCCCACGAAAGGCAGAGACGACGTCCTCTCCCTTCGACAGCAGTTTGAGTGGTGACACACACCCGGCCCTAACTGGCGTGACCCGAGCGGCTGCAGCTTCCTCCGGCAAAACGCCCTCGGGGGGCACCGCGCTAAGGCACGAGGAGGAGGGGGAGGAGGAGGTCTCTGTGCCCGCCGACGACAAGGAGCGACAGCCCATGACTGCGGCTCCTGCCACTTCTTCCGCGCCCGCGGCCGCCCCTGCATTTGCGGCAACGGGACAGAAACCGTCCTCAGAGGTGGAAGGGCCACCCCCAAGGACCATCGTTCCTTCTTCCAGGCGCGCGGACAAGGCTCTATCGACATCCTCCTCAGAGGCGGAGGGCGCCTCAACCCGCAAGGTGCCTCCTTCAAACCTTCCAAGCATCACAGTTGCAAAAATTTCGCCGTCGCCGCCTCCCAAGAGAGTGGAGGCCAAAGGTATGACTGATTTGTACAGCAGCGACTCGGATGTTGCAGAGGCCGCCTATGCAGCTCCACGTGTGGTTCGCAAGCTAACGGCTAAGTGGGCGGCAAACCGGCGTCGCGTGTACAGCAGCGACTCGGATATTTGATGGGCTCTACGCAGCCGGGGTGAGAAATTATGGGCGGGTGAGGAGTTGAAGTTGTGAATGGAGGTTACAGTAGGGGAAAAAAAAAAATAATTAAGCAAAAAAAAATGTGTGATCTCAAGCCATTTCCCTTGTTGTTAATGAGGGCCCCTCTTAAATTTATTTGTTTATTTATTTATTTTGCACTGCTGCCGCTTGAAAAGAAGCAGCAGCCGACAAGGGGCCAATCAGCGCATTAGGGGGAGGAGCGGGGGGAGTGGGAAATATTGTGCGGAGAGGATTTCTAGGATGCCGTGGGGCCTTGAAGGACGCGTGGGCGTCGTGACTGGCGCCTCCTCTGCAATTGGGAGGCACTTGTCCGCGCGCCTGGCCAAGGAGCACGGGGTGCGGTTGGCCTGCGTGTCGAGGAGGGATGTGACTGGCCTCGTCCCCGCAGAGTGCACGTGCCTGCGGGCGGACCTCCTGCTGCCGGCCGACACCGACGCTGTGATGAAGTCGGTGCGGGAGGCGCTTGGGCCCGTCTCGCTCCTCGTCAACTGCGCCGGTGTGACGCTGAACAAGATGCACGTGCGCTGCACCGAAGACGACTACGACGCCGTCATGAACGTTAACCTCCGTGGTGCACTTAACCTCACCCGCGCCGCGCTGCGTCATGGTGGGATGCTGAAGGGCGGCGACGGTTGCGTTGTCCACGTCGGCTCTGTTGTGGGCAGCCTGGGCAACGAGGGCCAGGTGCTCTATGCGGCCTCAAAGGCGGCGTTGAGTGGGGCGGTGCGGTCCTGGGCGCGGGAGTACGGCCCGAGGAACCTGCGGTTTAACGTGATTGCCCCCGGCCTCATTGCGGGGGAGGGGATGGGACGGACGCTGACGGAGGAGCAGCGCGAGTGGTGGCGGGGGCGCTGTCCCATGGGCCGCTTGGCCACTGCGGAGGACGTTGCCGACGCCATCATCGGCGTCAGCTTGTGCCGCTTCATCAACGGCCAGACGATTCACGTGGACGGGGGGCTGTGCTGAGCGGCCGACGGCGGGGACTGCAATTTCATGTTTGCCACCTCGTCCCTTCTTTTTTGTGTGGGGCGTCCAACACACACATGATGATTTTTTTTTTTTCCGTCCTGCTTCAAAAGTAACTGTTCCTCCTCTGCACGTGCGGCGGCGTTTTCTTCTGGATGGAGCACGCCATTTGCGCAAAGTCTCCGCAGTGCTGAGAGGTGCCAATTGCACGTTGGCGCATGCGGCTGCTGGGCGGGAAGTCTACCGCATTTGTCCCGGCCTTCCGATCGCGGCGCCACTCCCCAAAAGAAAAAAAACGAGGCCCGTCAGCCGGCACCAACACCGACCAACAACAGTTTATATTCCCCCCCCCCAAAAAAAAAAAATCTGGCCGAGGCACAAGGTTGCCCGCATCTCAAGCTCCCTGGCGCTCACACCCACAGGGGAACTCGGCTTCATCAGCGATTATATATATTCTTTGGAATGCTTAGCTTCCCAGAAATATACGTCTACCCCCGTACTGGACCCTGGCACCACGTTGAGGTGGTTCCATTTCGCGCCAAGCAACGACGAAAGCAAGAGGGCGGTCTGGCGACTGCGTCCAGCACCGCAGCCTTGCGGGGCGAGTTTTTTTCCCCGCTGAGCCGCCAGCGACACACGCACACACGTGCGCACAGAAGGAGTGTGAGTGTGTCACATTTGTCAAATTGTCTGCGTAACGCCGCCTTTTCCTTGCCTTATCTCCCGCCCTCTCCCCGTATCTCTCTCTATCGCGGTGTGGATGTGGCAGGGATGCAGTCTTCGTCGACCACGGTGTGTGGCGCGGACAGGCTTCGGCGCGCCCAAGATCAGGGGCTTCCGCCGGTGTTGGTGGAGAAGCAGGCAAAGGTGAAGAACTTCAGCAGATCCACCGCCGCCGCGTTGACGGGGCAGCTGGAAAACTGTGTCCATCTGCTTCGGGGACACTGCACGACGCTGCAGTACTGCAATGCGGAGATTGAGGGCGCCTTGCTGACCCTTGGCGTTGACTCGACGCATTCATTACTTGCCGCCATCAACGGCGTTGTCGAGGGCCTTGAAACGGTGGCGGAGACATGCAAGGAGATGTGTGAGAGCCACTTCGAGGAGGTGCGCCAGCGCGAGGACCTCTTCGCCTCGTGTTGCAACATGTATCTCACGCTGAAGGAGCGGCACGAGGTGACGGAGCGGGAGCTGCGCAGCTTCGTGGCGGAGCGTGACCGCCAAAACGCCGCCTTTGACAAGGCGGTTGCGTACGTGGAGACGCTGATCGCGGAGCGGGCGCGGTGGCAGGAGCGGAACGGCTACAACTGCGTCGGCCTCCCGCTTGTGGAGAAGTCCTTTTCGGAGCAGTGCCACGAGGCCCTCGACATGTTTGACAGGATTGCGCAGGAGACCCGCGGCCGGGAGCGCGCGGGCCCGGAGTGCCTGCTCTCCACCACCGACGCCCCCGACACCCTGGTGAAGCGATGGGAGATGCTTGAGGACCTTCGCCACGTGAACGGGGTGCGCTCGGCGCGGCTGCAGTACGTTCCGCCCGGGGACGAGGTGGCGCTCCTCCGTGAGGTGCTGGAGATGGGCTCGGGCAGCCGGGCGCTGCTGCACGATGTACGCGAGGAGCGGCGGGGGCTCGAGGAGGCCAAGAAGAAGGTGTGCGAGATAGGCGTCGCGAGCCTCGCCGCCCTGCAGCTCGCCCGCGCGGAGTTAAATAGCTTCAAGGGGTGGCTCGTAGGCCTCGAAAAGAGCGGGCTGCCGTTCAATACTTCGTTTGAGAAGTTCCGTACTATGATGGCAGCGTCCGCGGCGCCGCCGGGGTCCGGCCAGCAGCCCTAATACAAATATATACATATTTCCACCCAAAAGCCTGCTTGATGTACACTGGTATTCTTCTCTGGAGCCTCCCCCTTCGCGTTGGCGTTCTTTCGCTTTTCCTCTTCCATCCCCGCAGCGTGTGAGGAGGCTGGCTGCATCTTCCATTCTGTGCGTCGGAGTGCGAGCGTGCCGTGCCGCCTTCGATGCGCGACGGTGCAGCACGTTTTTGTTTTTGTTTTTTGTTTGTTGTTGCTCTTGCTTTGGGTGCTTGGGCACACGCATGTATATATGTATATATGTCGTTTGTTTTTTTCCCTCTGGTCTTTCTGCCCCAATCGGCGGCGCAAAGGCCCATGGATCGATACAGGCTGGAGAGGTACCCATGCGCCCGCACGCCGATGAGCACGCTCTACCTCTGCACCGACCTGCAAACCGGCGAGCGGCTTGTCGCCAAGGCGGTCGACAGGAGCACCCCCGCCGCCGAGCGCCGCGCGCGGCGCATGCTGCACGGGACCCAACTGGTCTCGCGGGCCCGCCGGCACCCGGGCCTTGTGGACGTGCGCGGCATCTACGACGTGGACGCGAAGACGTACGTCGTGATGGAGTACGTGGCGGGCGGCACGCTGCTGGATTACGTCGTGCGCCGCGGTCCGCTTCGCGAGGCCGCCGCGGTGGTTGTGATGCGGCAGCTGCTTGACGCCGTGGCGCACCTCCACGGCTCTGGGGTGATGCACCGCGACCTGAAGACGGAGCACGTCCTCATCAGCGCGCCGACGGACCGCACGGGGCCCCCAACGAGCGTCCGCATCTGCGACTTTGGGTTTGCGGCGAGCAAAGTGCCCAACGGCGAGTGCGTGGGGACCCCGCAGTACAGCGCCCCGGAGGTCGCCGCGATCGGCGTTGCGCAGAGCAGGGCGGGCAGCGGCAGCGGCAGCGGCAGCGGCAGCTACGACGAGAAGTGCGATATTTGGTCGCTCGGCGTCGTGGCGTACGCCATCCTCAGCGGGATGCTTCCGTTCGACGGCAGCACCCCGACGGAGGTGTTCGCGAGCATTCTGCGCCGCCAGGTCCCTTTTCCGCCCTCCGCCTGGCAGGGCGTGGGCGAGGACGCCAAAGCGTTTGTCCTCTTCCTCCTGACGCCGGACCCCGACAAACGCCCCTCCGCGCTGCAGTGTCTGCGCCACCCGTGGCTCTTTTGAATGTATCAATGCGGTACTTTGCCTTCCCTCCTCCTTTCTCTTTTTGGTTTCTCCTTTTTTGTTTGTTTGCGCCGTGTCCTTGCTTGACTCCCCTGCACGCCTGCCAAACGCGAAAGTGTGGTTTGGGGCGGCTGGGCGGACCTCCCAGTCTCACGTGGTTTCCTTGCCGCGAGGAAGAAACGACAATGTATACATACATATATAGTTGTTTTTTTAAAAAAAAACTTGCGTCAATGCACACGTGCGCGGATGCCTCTTTCTTGTTTTTGTTTTTGCTTTCAGTATAGTTGCCTTTTCTTTGTCGAC